GGCAATTATCAACAACAACAAAAACGGATTTCCATGAAATGTCATGCCATTTCATATTCAGATTAAGATATCTTTCACTGTCAAACCCCAACAAGCCAGGTGAGCACTAGTTTCAATCCAAAGAGCTGACAGTTTACTGAGAATAACCAAAACAATCCGTCAAAAATAACTTCAATCGGACGGACTCCAAACTGCTAAAGGTAAGTTGGCGACACTCATAAATTACATTTATGAACCGCAAACAGCCAGATTGATATCATTAGACAAACGACTTCTTACAACTGTGCGATGAAACACAGATGATATAGATAAAATCTCAGTATTCGATAAAGTAGCACGACCAACGCAGTCGAACGAAACCATGTGCATTGATAAAACAACTGACGGAGGTGAGTAGCAGCAATTATACAGTTTGCAAGCAAGATCCATTCGTCAAAACGAACTTTAACTGATCATTCTTGCAGTCCAGGATGTTCCTCGTTCAGATGGATAGCCACACACAGACATAGTGAACACATAAAGATTCCTTCGGACGTAAAATTTTAAATCGATCAAGTGGAATTTGTGTTGTATTTAACGAAATCGCTCACCTTGACACGCGTGGGTCGCGAAACATCGACCTGGTTCTGTCCGATTCCGGTCGACTCAGTGACATCCGATTCGTATTGCTGATGAACCAAGGCAGCCAACGTGGTGAACTGTGCAGAACCACTAGAACGCATCTTTTTGGCCTGAAGATTGGATTCAAATGATTCAGAAAACGAAGGCCACGGCTCGAGTGCGAGATCGTGCGAATCACCGGCATCTGGTCTACACAATCCAATCGCTGTATCTCCACGTGCATAATCGACCGGAGAATTCGAATGCAGTCGAGCATTTTGTGGGACCAACTCAATTCCCTTGTCACCTATTGAAAAATTGTGAACCGAATGATTTTAAAGTAAATATGAAGAATGAATGAATTTTCAGTTATCACAATCGTGCGCGGTACCGATTCTACTGGACGGGTAAGAAGTATACTCAGAGATGTAATACTAAACAAAACCAGTGCACAAGCCAACGTTCATCACCTTAAGGCGAATCTATCTGCAGTATGAGTAGGAAAACAAGTACCGACATGAGGGCCAACAAGGTCAAATAACAGATCAATAGGACAAACAAGAAAAGCACCGGTCAACGAATATACAGCAGTATTGAACAAAGACTGAAGGATAGACAGAGAGCGGTGAACTTGGTTTGACTATCTAAATAAGAGACCACACGATCAATAAGCTTTTTTCCGTTGTTCAGAAAACGTGATGACANCACAGTTAGGATAACTGGATATCCTAAAACCGGTGTACTAAAGTCTATCGCGTGGTACGATCAAGGTTAGTTTTCACTTTAACAGCGGCCTCGATCGATCATTAGCTATTTTTAGGTATTTCAGAGTAGTCACAGTTCCATCAACGGAGAAAATTTCAGTTTGTACGACCGAAAACCGTGCCACATATTTGGATGAAGAATAGGAGAAAGACAGAAAGGTTGAATATAGATTTGAAGAGAAAATGGAGAATTTCAGTGATCTAGGGTTGCAGAGAAATTGAGGAGATGCACGAATGCCACTGTTTACGACACAGCCATAACAATCAGTGTCTCTAACCATCGGCCGCCATCAAGCCGAGGTCAACACCCAGGGAATCGAACGGGACTGTTGTTTATCACACAGCTAAGTGTCATCAACAGCAGACGAGGTACTGCTGTTCAGTGATTTTAACCGGCAACGTAAGCCCCGGGACTTGGAGTGGCGAACCACAAAAGGCTCCAGTACCCAGTACCCTGGTCAGTATTTTCATACCCTTGTGCCAGGTAGTAGGTTGACCACCCTTGGCTTTCTTCCAACCAATACCTGACTCAGAAACCTATCTGGTGACATGCGTAGCACATGTTCCAACCAGAGTACTCTATAGAGGTGGACTACTTGTTCCAGTGAGCGACCGCGATTACCTAAGACTCTACGCCTAACCTCAGCATTGCTCGTCCGGTCTCCTCACCAGACTCGTGCAATACGACATAGACAGCGGTGTGCAAATACCGACAATATGTCTTTATCCTGCCACCTTAATGGTCAAGTTTCTGCATTGTAAAGCAGTACTGGCCGAACTGCTGCTGCATATACTCGACTCTTCACAGACAACCGGATATCGCGACGGCGCCATAGGTGTCTCAAGTTAGCAAATGTCAACCGATCCTTCTGTTTGCGAGCTGGCACTTCATCTACGACGCGTCCGCCAGGTGAAACAAAACTGTGTAATTAACAAACTTTCTCTACTTCCTACACTACTTCCCCAGTTAAAGTGAGGCTGGAAGCTGGACCAACCCAGTCAAGTAATGCTTTGCACTTTGAAGGTGCAAAACGCATACCGAACTTGTCTACAATAGCACTCAAACTATCCAGAAGGGCTTGCAATGTACCTGGATCTTCACTTAGTAGCACAATGTCGTCTGCATACTCCAGATCAGACAGTCTGTCAATTGGGAGCAAATTGATGCCGCTTTCCTCGCACATGATGAGGGTTGCCTCAAGAATGAAATATATAAAAAAAAGTTAAATATAAACGGATAGAGAAGATAAACCTGACGAATACCACGTTTCGTAGTGAACTAAGGTGGGAAAGTGTCATAAGCTCCGACTCGGCTCCAGCTATTAGTATAAAGTGATTGAAAATTTGGAATAAACTTCTCGGGCACACCCTTCGACGAAAGAAGCGTGAGTTCTAGAGTGAAAATATCGTTTACACAACCTCCGCCGAGGATAAAACAGCTTGATTCTCAAGCGTACACCGTTCACGTGCAGTAGACAATCAACGTAGTGTAACACTAGCGATTAAACTTGTTCCTTTTTGTTTTTCGCAAAACGATTAGTCATGTTTCTTGTAAATCTCTACGAAAATCGATTCACGCAATTCAGCGGGAATCTGTCGACCCGCCCATATTAATCTCAGGAGTTTCGTCAACTCCAAGACCAAGGCTGGCCTCCATCCCTTACAGGTCGATGGGCTGCAGGCCTTATAGCCTTTGAGATAACTTATTTACAGATAACGCTCCATTTCAGATGGAGGACTGGCATCAACTGGCAGTATTTGTTCAGCTGAAGCAGGCATTGGGAGTTTTTGTGTGCTGAATATGGATCATTCCTCATTTACGCCTAATATCCTAATCAAACAAAAAAGATTGCAACTATTACCGATAGCCGCAGCCTTCTCCGTCTCTTTACACCTCCCTATCCAGCACTTGTCGCGGTCATTCTTCAGACTATTGATGAGCGGGCGCTCAAAGGACTTGCGCGCTGTCGTATGTTGCATCAAGTGGAGTGGCTTTGCGGGCGTCCAGCTGGGCAGCCGATGTCGAGGTAACTCACCAATTTCGTTATGATCGTGCGCCAGAATCCGTCGTTGTTCTGACTGACATTTGGATCGCTTCCTTGATTGCCGTCCAGTGTGCACTGAGTCCTTCAACTGATGTTTGAGCTGTAAGGCAATGCGAGAGTTCCGCTTCGAAGGCCGATTTGCAGCAATTGCTGACGCTGTATTGTGGGTATTCGTTTTCGGTGGTTTTTCGGAGGTTGTTTACTAGGCGTAGGGAAGATCTAGCTTGTAGTAGAGCATGGTTCAATTCCATTGATGTTGGCCGGGAAGAGCGACGTTCTTCAATGGATCCTCGCCAGCGGTGGCTGATGGCGATGAGGTCGATTTGAATCCAACGCTGTGAGGTAGGCATTCTCCGCTGTCGGTCCGGTTGGTTGGGATTGTATGTGTACTACTGGGAAGCCTTTCTGGTGCGTCCAGGAATCCCCCTTGAGCACTAAAGTCTCCAGTAACTACCACGATGTCCGCCGACGGAGCAATTTGGAGCAGTCGAGAGGTCCTTGTAGAATTCACCCTTCGTTTCTGGCGGACTGCATTCAGGGGGTGCTTACACCGATACAACGAATAGAAAACGTAGCCTCATTCTGTAGCAGATATCTCGTGTTGATCGATTCAGACGTACAGTACAGAGAGAGCTACTAACCGGGCTCCTGTCAAGAAGTGAACGCTCAGTCTTGGAGCAATCATGACACCACATTCATATTTCGCACTGCAATTCAAATGTTTCCATACTAGTTGTTTCCTAGCTAAATAATCCGTAAAGCAGGAAATTTCAAAATTTTGTGGCACATATTGGCGTGGATAAGCCGAAAATTCGATCAGAAAAGGATTTTATGGTAATTATTGCAAATGAACCGCTGGAGTCAGTTCCTACCGGTCACCACCATGAGGGTATTCGGGTGTATAGCATATGTATTGTTGTTTTCTATCCGCTAAAAACAACACAGAATCAAAAAGCGTCAATAAAACCGTGGATGACCACCAAAATCCGCATCCTTAAACCGGATCGGCTTACGTGATTGGGACCGGTTTCGCCGGAACGAACCACGGCAAGTGCACCAACGCACAATGCGTGTGCGTAGCCAC